ACATACATACATAACATCACGCCTTTTATTCCCAAAGGGGGTTTGCAGAGGTGCACATTACGGCACTTAATGCCACTGTACAATGTAACACCCACTTTTCACTAGTTTATGTTATGAGTCCCATTTAATAGGGGGTGAGCCTATTGCCATAGTTCCGTACTCCGTGATACTATTGAGATTTTTTTTAAAACCCAGTAATACTTTACCCTACCCGGGAATCGAACCTGAGAGAAATTACGAATGATTGGTGAAGGAATGCTGATAATAACAGAAAACGTTACTATAAATGGGTGAAAAAGTTGCATCAATTACTTAAGTTGTTAAAATCTACACACAATGTTTTACAGCTCACTTGACGAGGTAACTCGACTACTTTCGAGGTAAATCTACACAATCAATCGATAGGATTGCCCATCGATAAAATCTTGCAGCCGTGTCAACAACTTGTCTCCCTTGAGGACACTACTGAGCCTCTATTTTCGCTCTCTTGGCTGCAGACAGTAACCAGACGGATATTTCCCATGGGAGTAATAAACATGGCGGTGTAACGCACTCGGCATGGTAGCCACTTCATGTAGGGAGTTGTAGTAATTTGCTGTCGGTGCTTACAATACATTGTAAGTTATGGATTAAGTACCTATATTTTTTCTAAACATTTAGAAAGCAGAAATAAAATTACTACAACTCCCTCAATGAACGTCCGTCTGCTCGTTTACCGGCTAATGCCATAAAAAAATGAAGTATTTTTATGTCGATGGCTGTCTTTAGTGGCCGCAACCCTGGAACCTCGTGATCTTGCTAAATACTGAATTTGAATTTCGAAAATTCAAATTGTGTTTTGTCTGTGGATTGTTATAGTGTCTATCTTAATCAATTATTAGTATGGTAGTTATATCTTTTGAGTGACAATACCATAACTTCTTTTTACAAAATATAACCTACATTTTTTTTTATTTAATACGCGTAATAGGTACTTCCTTATATCGCTCATATGAGCATGAACGAATACAAATTCACGAACATAATTATTTTAATATTTCAAATTAAATCCAAAAAGAACAGATTAAGATATAGATAAAAAGTATAAATGAAAAGAAGTATAAGTATTTTGACACTTTTTAATTACTTACTTAAGTTAAACGTTGCCTTTCATACAAAGATTCCAAGTCTCATGTTACTAACTTGATACTAATTAAGTAAGTATGTAAAGCCTGCCTTATTTACGTAAGCAAATATAGGTACGCAGGAACTTTCAAAAACTTTTATTCACAAGAAAATAATTCTGACTTAACGAGAAATGTTCATGAACTTCCTGAAAAATACACAATTTGTTCACTTCTTATGTTAATATAAATATTTAATAAGTAGGCACTTAGTTTAGTTAGCAAGTTACTTGACGGAGTTCTGTTATCTTAAGTTGTGTTCGAGTACAAAATCTTTAGCATAATACAATGTAACGAAGCTAGATTTGTTTGTTTATCTCCGTAAAATACTTGTAGGTAAAATATTATAACTGTATTTGATATTTTTGTAGAAATTCATTGAACGTCATCATGGCTAACAATATTATGTATGAAGTATAATTATTTAGTAAAGAAACGGAAAGGCTTTTACAACTTTAAAATGTATATAACTCAAATTAAATAAGCTACCAAATAAGTACCTAGGTACACACACCCGACCAGGCATCTACTAAGCATGGAGCTAGTAGAAGCTATTGGGTGGGTTCTCTTTTTTTCGGCTATAGCTATCAGGCCGACGCGACATTGGACCTCTATCTCGCCTGGTGGTAAACGACGTTGCGATCTACGATGGAGCATGAGTAATGTTATGTTATCACCAGTAATGTTATGAATCCCACCTACCACGCATATAACAGAGTGAAACGTTGCCATTTACAAGGCAAAATTAAAAACTACGTGCAACTGTTTAGAAATTTTTGAAATAGTGAAGAAACCACAATAATTCTAAGCTTGACCTTGACGATCGAACTCGAGACTGAGACCCGACCACTATTTTAATCCAACAGTTAAGTATAATTAGATTTTTTATCGGGACAATCCCACTACAACCTCCCAAAACCACTGCAACACTTCTTGTAAGATTCTACAGTAGATACAACCATGAAAACACCGGAACACTGAAGTCCGGCGCGTCCCAGGGACTTGAATAACTGTCTTGGTTCCTGCAACTACACAAATCGGAAGATGATATTAGAGGAGAACAAAATTCAATTACGAACGTCTTTATGTGTTCTTGCATTTTTGTCTACATACGTGTGTCTTTTACCTTATTTCATACTTCCTTCAATTTCAATGCACCTGGTTACCTACCTCTGGCGAGATGAACAACAGGGACGAAACCAGACATCGACACTATCCACATCTGTGTTCGCAAATTAAAACCATTATGATTGTTGAATGACCTAGCTACTTGGTATTCTTTTGCAAGTGCTAGATCTAGTATACAAAGTGGGGTACCTGAACTAGAGAGAATGCGCTATAGGGCCTCTGGGATGGGATGGGACGTAGATGCAGAATTCCAATTAGTGCTAAACTTCTAGAAACCACTTTAGACATAAATTAGTGAGCCAAAAGTGGATACTGTGTTGTGGTCGGAAAGTTTAACTTTTGGGCTAGTTTTACTATTTATAGGTACCTTACGTTAGATGAAGACATGTTGTGTTTAGAAGGGTTGGTACATTTTAAACTAGTTATAAATTAAAGAACTGAAGGCAGAGATTGAATAGCTGGATAGCTGGAGAGACCTATTTAGAGGCCATTTCAGTTCAGTCACAAAGACGGGTTATGACTTAAAAATAGCTAATATCATTGATAAGAAGATTTCTTTCTGTCTTTTGTCTGAACTAACTAAATTTTGAAATGAAATCGTGCATACGATGAGGCTCTCCGTTTCGATTCTCGGATTGAGGATTTCAAAATTCTCAGTATACTATTTAGTAGACTGGGGTCTAGTGTCTGGTGCCTTGTACGATGTTCCCACCTTGTTTGCCCGTCTTCTCCCCCTAACCATTTCAGGAATAGTAACAATTAGTATAACATGATATTGACAATCGTTACGATTTACGCATAACCAAGTCGAGATGCTGTCTACATAATATGGCCTTGCCTATTCCATGCAGTTCATACTAGTTCTGAATATTGTATAGTAGAAAACTACTTTTTGCAAAGTTGGTGTCCTGATTTTTTCATCGACCCTTTCAGCATTAATCACCACGCTTGCTCAATGCGGGTTGGCGATTACAAACTTACAATTTAGAAATTATAAGCCTAGGTTTCCTCACGATGTTTTCCTTCACCGCTTGTCAGTGGTGTCTGGATAATCTTAGAAAGTACATATAACTCGGAAAAAGTCACATTGGTACTTGCCGTTGGTAGGTTTCGAACTCGCACCCTCATGTATCAGAGGTGGGCGTCGTAACTCGTCGAGTACCGGTTTTGTAGACACAATTATAGAATTATTAAATATTGTTCTATAATTGTGTCTATAATGACGGTACTCGACGAGTTAAACCTCCGGGCCACCTCGACTACGACTCCGGCAGTAGATACGTACAACGTACATACATAGCTAAATATTTAGCTGTGCCTAGCCAACCAGAACCCTCGTACTGTCATCGTTAGAGTGCAGATGTATTGTACAATAAATAGATATGTTTAAAAGCTGATTGTTTATTTTGTGTGCAGTTTTTTTTTTATTTTAGATGGGAGTGACGTTGGACCACTATCCCTGTGTTGTGATCTACTATAGAGCACATCGTCCCATAAGCAACCTATTCACTCGGGCCTTGAAGACACCTAGGTTATACCCTTCCAGAAATACAGATATTTATATTTAGGGTAGTAGATGAAAAAATAGAGGTATGTGGTTATTGGTCTTTCTATTGCCAATAGAACTCCATTGAGGTGCACATTACGGCACTTAATGCCACTGTAAAATGTAACACCCACTTTACACTTTTCATAGATAATTTCTTTAGACAAAAATCTAAATGTATGTCTATTGTTTTACTACTGAAACATGTGATAAAACGGAACAAAACCAGCTTGGCATAGTATGTCGACAAACCATAACCACCATACTGTCATAATATGGAAGCGAATAAATCGCTTTATATCACAGTTAGACGGATATTCGTACCAGAACGAGTGCCATGTGTCAGTTATTGGCTGCAACCGCTGAATTAAGCAGCTGCAGCGTTGGGAATGTTTTCATCTTTTTAGTGTACCTAAATTGAAAGGAAGTTTTTACAAAACTAGTATATTGTGTACTAGCTAAACCCACAACTTCGTCTGTGTTTTTATAGAATAAAAGTAGCCTAGGTATGTTACTTCTTCGTACATATCCAATAAAAGTACCTGCCAATAAAAGTCCCGTCAAAATCGGTCCAGCCATCCCAGAGATTAGACAGTACAAACATATACGTATAGTATGTTTATACATACAATATTACAAACAGAGTGTCTGTTTACTTACGGAACTTATTATTCTTAGGTATCTGTATGATGCTATAGGAGACGAATGTAAGTTTTCTCAAAAAAAATGTAAAATTAATAATAGAACAATAATTAACTAAATAAGTTTAAGTAATAAAAGTCAATGTAATTTTTTAAGCATTTGTTTTAGCTCATAATTACAAAAAGCATTTTCGAAACAGTAAAACCTAATTAATGTAATTATCTACCTACGTCTAACTAGAACTCATTAAGTACCTTATAAAATAAAATATACCTAAGCCTACGAGCACAGTAACATAAATACTTGAGGTAAGTAATTAATATCTGCTTCGTAATTAATTACTTTGTGTGTTTAAGTACATGTAGTGTTCATTATAACTTATGTAAATAAAATACGAAGTTAGTAACTGTAATCATACGAGTTTTCATTAAACTTCTACGGTTTACTACGAAGTGCTACGAGAAATGCCACAGTCTACTAAATAATAGCTCGTTTCACGCAGTATCTTCACAGTTCACAGAGGACGTTGACTACAATATCGTCCATCCTTTTCTAACAACCATCTATACTCTTCCGTAAATCGAAATCAAAGCTCGTCGGGATTGGAGCGCGGTGAAGTTGTCGCGGTCGCCACACGAGAGTGAAGTGAAATGCAGACCGATGCGCGTTCAGAAGATAAGGACGAACAAATTTTATTTTCATTCTCTGACTCATTGCCAAAGTAGAAATAATCTATAAAATCATCAATTACCTGCCATATAGTGATAATTTTAAATAAAGTAACGATAACTTTCTATCTGTTAACTCAATTTCACCAAATAATCGAAACTAAGATAGACTTTTTTCCACAAATTCTCACCAAATGCGTTGACACTTCACTAACGTTTTGAACAAGCCGGTCGAAAAATTAAGCTCTCGTATGTGCGGAACGTACCTGCATATGGCGGACGCTCAGTTTGTGTTTATGTCAATAAGAAACTGATTTTTAACATTTGCGCGGGTGTGGATTAAACAATTTATTAATTATTATGTGTTAGTGAAAACTGTGTATTGTGTGTTTTTTTGTGATAATGGTTTTCGTGGTTGAACATTTGGATAACTTGATATCTTGGTTGTACTTATAAGGGTATGTATTTATTTTATGTTTCTTTCGATATTTGAGAATTTATTGAGATTTACGAGCTTTCATAAATGCGGTTCTGCGGGGAATGTTATGATTTTTTATGGGAGCAAACGAATTGTTTATGTCGTAGATGTTTGCAAGTGATGTCTCTAGGCTCGATTGATTCGTTTCTCATAGGTTATCGCCAGATGATAACTTTTGGCGAATTGTTACGAAGCTCCTTCCAAGTTAGGTGCAATAAACACTGCATATAAACACTACATTCATTTATAAAGCTTCGACATGTTTTGTGGAATTTCCAACCAGTCAGTTGTTGGAAATATCATTCAGTTTTCGTGTATGTAGAAGGGGTTAATTGAATAATTTGCAGAGCAATTGCATTCGCTAAACTTGTATGATCTAATCAGTTTGGAAGACAGGATGTTAATGGAATAAATAACGTTTTTTTTAACTGTTTGGTTAGATGTCAAAGTATAGTGAAGATCTATGGAGTTCATAGAATATTTCATTCACTATTCCCTAATATACCTACTTATTTTTGAAATAAGAATGCTGAAAAAACATTTGAAATCATCACAATAAAAGTTGTAGCAAAAAGTTTTTATCCCATGATAGTTACCAACCTCAAATAAATGTGGAACAGGGGATAGAAAAAAAATAAACATCAAGATTTTTATTTATGCTTGCTATGTCAGTCTTATTACAGCATGGTGAGCACATTTTGTTTATAATTTGGACACACATGTTTTGATAACTTTATCCCATGAATCATGAGACATCTGTCCAGTGATTTATGTCCCACATTCTAATTCACAAGGAACTGATGACTATATAATTAAGTATATTTAAAAATAGAATACAGTAAGTATTCAAATTTTTTTTATTTCATTCTGTATAATGCCAGTAATTTCTTTTTTACATCTGTGGTTGATGCTTGTAGATAAATTAGACTTACAAGGTTAAAAGACATTTTGTTGTTGAGGTAATAATTGTCATGTGCTGCAAAGTGGAACATGTTTTATAATATTAAAGATTTTATTGGATTATACATAACTAAAATAAACCATAAAAGAAAGGATTTGAAATGTATTCCCCAAACTGTTTAATGACCAGGTTTTATTGATTAATACATAAATTTATTTTGTTCAACTCAGAACTAAAAAAAAACGTTCGCACAATGCAGAAGTGATTAATGAAATAACTAGCTTCTTGCGTAATAAACACTGCAATAGTAAAAAACATATAAACAGTAACTAAATGACTGTTTGTATACAATTATGACTCATAAATCTACGTTGATAATGTTGATAATTGATTACTGAATAATAATTCCCAGATTATGAATATTATAATCTGCGTTAAATTAATTACTGGTATCCGTTTTCCTGTAAATGTGTAGCAGTTTTAATAAATTGAAGTTATCAAATAATTATGTGTATTGTTTTGTAGAAAATTAAAATTGTAACGGTAGTTACTCTATCGTTAAATCCGGCTTTGATTTCATACTGTTTGTCCTCTGCAGTTTGTGGTTGGTTATTTGTATTGAATAATATTTTTAATATTTAATTTTAAGACATTTTGCTGCTATTTGATATTTGTTCATAATTATTTATGTAAGTGGGTACTGTTGTAATTCATACCACATCTCAATGCAGGCAAAAAGACGAACAGGTTTGTTCATAAGAAACTTGTAAAATAATTTCATATTTTTGGTTGTAACTATATTTGTTTAATTGGCACCGAGTCTTAATTAAGGCTACCTAAATTAAATTGTTGTGTTTGGAACACCATAGTGCTTGTTTCAGATAGAAATACTAAAGTCTATCAGCACCAAATGAAAGATAACTAAATACCGAGTGTCTTTCTAACAAAACAGCTGACAGTTCTTTTGACACTTAACAGAGTTACAGACGTCCCTGCTCTTCTTGAAACCACTGCCCTGATTCAATATTTTTATTTGATTATTAGGCTAGACAGAGTCTTCATTCACATGACCTAATACAACGATTCAAATCACACAAACCCACAGTGTAAACCATTCTTAATGGCTTGTTTAAATCCTTTTTTTGTTACATCTCTCTTTAACATGAAGTCAAATCTTACCAATAATTGCGAACTAAACATTCATTTTGTCCTCCGTTTGTTAGTTGAAAATGTCATCTAGACTAGATCTATTTAGTCATGCTTGATGACAGATTCTTTAGAATTGATTGGTGAAAGACTAAATGACTAATGAAAGTAAAATATATTGTTGATGTATTGATAAAAAGGTGTATGACAGTTATAGGTTCAAGATATGAAGATAGGACTGTGTTTTGTAACTTTAAGTAAACATAAATGATAAATGATGATGCTAAATGATTCATTGTTAGTACTATGTATTGTTCGGTTTGTTTACTAGTTTTTTAAATGAAAATATTTTGATTTGTTAGACACATTGTTTATTAACAATTCAAACTGAATCGCCTTTATAGTTAGATGCAATTGATTAAACGAAAACCGAGAGGTTGCTTTGGTTCACCATGTATTTATGAACGACGTTTATTTATTTAGTTTACGAAGAGCTTTGCGTAAAGCTTCCTTGTGCATACTGCTAAGGAGTGAAATTCTTTGCCAGAGTCTGTATTTCCTGAAGGGTATAATTATTATAACCTGGGTGTCTTCAATGCCCGAGTGAATAGTTTGCTTATGGTACGACATGCTCCATTGTATCGTCGCTTCATCGCTTACCACTAGGCCAGATAATGGTCAAACGTCGGCCCATCAAACATATAAAAAAATACGTAAAACGTAATCCTATTAACTAAATCGCCAATAACTAAATCTTGTTATATATCTATGCACTCATTAATTAATACATGCAATTAAACTATCAATTTTGATACGTCCATAAACGGTTCAATATAACCTACCGCCAACTTATCATTTACGTCTACGATAACACGAAATTCGTCTCCGAAATCCCATGGTACGAGCCCTACGCGATCACGACAAGATTTTATCTTATCTTCCGTCTTAATCAAATCAGTCAGTGTCGTTGGCCTCATCTCACTCTATATAATGTTTGCACATAACGTAGTATGTATAGAACTAAGTAATATGTAATATCGCGTAACTACTGGCCTTGTAGTTACTGGAGAATAATAAATCCACGTGTCGAAGGAACGTTGTACTTTATATTTGTTTGAATACTTTGAATATTACGTTTGTCGTACAAATTTTATGAGCAACCCATCTTTTACCGAGTTCTATAGACATATATAACAATAGAATTGATACTTATAAGATTTACTTGCCACGTGGATTTTACGATGAAAACATTAGGTCCTTACTTGTGTGTATTACAATAACCTGTATTTGATACTAGCTTTTACCCGCGGCTTCGCTCGCGTCACAAAAGGATAAAAAGCCAATGTGACATATACCAATACACACAGCGCCATCTATACCAATACTTTTGTTTTCTCTCGGGAATATCAAATTTTTCCGGGATAAAAAGTACCCTATTATTTAATCCGGACTTCTAACTATACATCTGAAAAAATCAAAGAAATCGGTTTAGTAGTTATGGTGTGATAGCGGAACAAACAAACAAACTCACTTTCCGATTTATAATATTAGTAAGGATGACAAAATAAATGTTTACATGAAATTCGGTAGGTGCTTATCACGTAATGATAGCCTGAGTCTGTCACCAAAACGTTATATCCTGGCACAAATCACGAGTAAATAGGTTGCTTATAACTAAGCAGGCTGCCTCCATCCGCTTCATCGCTTACAAAAAGGCGTCGATTAAAAAAAAGATTGATTAGGTTTGTGATAGTACCTAAACGTGTCGCGAGGTGTTATAAATATCGCCTGATAGGCTTCTGCATAAATTAGTATGATGAATGAACGATTTTGTGATTAATCGAATTAACTTAGTGCCAAAATGACCCCAAGAATGATACAAATGGTCCCTCTATCATTACTTCACAGTTACATGTTCTAGTTACTATCTCTAATAAAATACTTACAAGCTCCCTTATTGAGTTTGATGTCTAAAATTCCAAATTACTTGAAATCAAGAGAATGTGGCGCCTAAATTGCAAACTAATAGCTCCAATCTTGTTAGAGCGTGACGCTTAGGAAAACAAATAGGGAAATGCCACGGAGACTGACGACCAATTCGGATCTTTTATTTCCCGTATTGGGAGTCAAAGATTCTTTAGTGCTCTAATCAATTAAAGGTTTTAATGTTAGCTTTTTCTCACGACCTTATTTGCCAAAGTTAGAAAAACAACGTCCAAATATTCTTTACAAGTAGTTATGGGTAACTAATTTTGCAGAAATATATAATTAACCCATTTAAGGGTCCTGTTCTATATATTATTACTGTCCCAAAATCATTCAATCGGTTCACCGGTTTAAATGGTAGAACAACAAACAAACAAACTCACTTTCCAATTTATGCAGTGTCTCTTTTCATTCCAGAGGTTAAAATAAATTGTGACCTGACCTCTTCTTCTATTCTCTCGAGGATTGTCAAGAGTATCATCCTTTTGCGTGTAAATCAGGACTGGGACATCGGTCGATACATATTTTCTCTTCCACTCTGATAATTTTACTACTGGCTCGTTGATCTAGAACTTTCTTTGATTTAGAAATTGTTGAGAGACGGAATCTGGATTTGTGGTCGGTGTTTCGCAATAAGTTCGCCTCCATTTTGCATAGGACGAAGTATCAAATGGCATAACTCTTGAGATGTGGGTGTAAGGAAATAATATCTAGTTTTTAGGTGCGCTACTGGAGCGGAATAGAAAAGCCGTTCTTTTTTTTCAAATATTTTGGAATTCGGTAGCATCAGATTCTCTACCAATGACCTTGTAAATCTTGCCAATATTAGCGAACATATTTGGAGAACGGTCCTTCCATTCTCCCAAATACGCTATTGTTTCATCGAAAAATCCCGAACGATGCTGGGGTGTTCAATTATAGGTGGGATCGGAAATGTGCCCGGTGCT